TTTTTATGATTTTGACTTTTGTTCCACAATATTCTCCCACTCTATCTAGGATCTCTTGCACTGATCCCTTTCCAAGTGGTTGACAGTGGTAGCCAGACCCCATCTAGTTCTTCTGGTCCTAAGTCATATAGGCTGAAGTTTGCATGGTCCACTAGTCCCTTGGACTAATTGTTTCCTTCTTTGCTCTGGGTGAGGAAAGACCTATTGTTGCATCTAGATGGACACTTACAAGCTTTCAAGACCCTAATTGCTACTCACCAAAGTAGGATGTAGAAAAATATTTTTGTGTCGTATCTTATGCTAATTGAACTTGATGTTCCTGCGACCATGGTCCAGAGCCCACAAGTCTAACTACTCGCTCCTCCAGGGTGATTGGCTGTGGCTAAGAAGTTAAATATTCACTTTCATATCTGATTTTCTGTTCTCTTCTTAAAGAGGCTACAATTTGTATAAACTTCAAGCCTCATAAAACCAATATCCACCCCTGGCCATTCTTGCCATCATTTTAAAAACATGTAAATTGAGGCACAGAGAGGTGAACTGATTTGCCCAAAGTCACTGAGCTAGGACGTGATGAGGCAGAATTTGAACACAGACCATCTGACTCCAGACTCTCCTTCAGTGGAATGCTGTGAGGATCCAGGGAGAAAGGAGAACATGAAGGAAACTTTACAAATTCAAGGAATCAATATTATTCACAATCAAATGAAAGATGTGTGCCTGTTTTTCTGCGGATACTTTTTGTTGTTAGATGCTGTCTTTTTAGTTTTGACACTCGGCGACCCTGTGTACAACAGAACAAAACATTGCCCCGTCCTGTGTCATCCTCACAATTGTTGTCACGCTGGAGCCCCTCATCGCAGCCACTGTGTCAATCCATCCTGATGAGGGTCTTCCCCTATTTCTCTGACTTTAGAGACTTTACCAAACATGATGTCCTTCTCTAGGGACTGGTCCCTTCTGACAACAAGTCACCTACTAAAGATGCATAACTTGAATCTGATCACAAGGACACCGGTGGGTCAGTGGTTGAATACTAGCCATGCATGCAGAAGACCCAGGTTCAATTATTACACAATGTACCGCAGCCACCACCCATCTCCCAGTGGAGCTGTGGAACAAATTAGTTCCTTAGGCAGAGGAAAAGGGGAGTAAAGTCCCCCTACCGTATGCTTGGAACTTGACACCCAGGATTTCACTTTGTCCTCACTGTAGCCCTGTAGACAGGTGTTATTGTCCCAGATGAGGCTCCTGAGGCCCACAGAGTTCACACAGCCAGAATGTGACAGAGCCAGAAGCAGATGCCTGGGCTGGGTAGTGCCAGCATCTATCTCTCTCTTCCCAGGGCACCAGGCTGTGCTATATTGTTGTAGCAAAAGGCTTGCCAGGCTGAGCTTGCCAAGGTCTAGGGACGTGACGCAGATGAGGACCTCCTCACCACCCTCCACTCCGCTCACCCTTCTGTGAGATAGATGCCCAGGACAGAAGAGTTGTATGATGGACAGAGTAATGTTTCTGCCCAGAGCACAAGGGGGCATCACCTGGAGACCCAGTAGCAGTAAGGTGGTGCCCACTCAGTGAGCCAGCAGCTCTGGGAACCTCAGGCAGCACAGCGCTGGTTGCATAATTGGGCCAGTGGGTGAGGGGAACAAACAAGGACTTCCGAGTCAGACAGCTCTAAGCTCTGTCCCTACCTCGCTGTGTGGCTTGGGCAAGTGGCTTCACCTCTTTGAGTTTCACAAAGTAAAAATCTTCACTCATAAGGAAGTTGTGAATATTAAAGTGAAAAGTGCCTGCCACATAGTAGGTGCTCAATAAATAGAAGTCACATTTCATTATCAATCTGTGAGGGCTTCTCAGCACATGTGGCCTTTCAGTAGCTCTAGGAATCTAGGCTGGGGAGCGTGAGTTCTGAAGGACCTTATTTCTGCAGGGCCCCAGAGTTGGAGTCAGGGGAGGGGACTCTAGATAGAAAAGTGGGCACAGTCCTCCAGTCCCCCAGGATCCTGGTTCCCTCCCCTGTGGCCTGTTCCTTACCGACAACAGGCACAGAGCCTCAAGGTTAAGCAAACAAGCCAGCGATAAGGCACTTCCAGGTTGGGCCTGCGTTCAAGGCTTGTCCAGCTCTGGGGCTTACTGCCCAGCTTAGCAAGAGCCCTGGTCTTGTGCACACACGGGAGCAGGGCATCAGTGGGGACACCTGCCACAGTCGCCTGCTGATTGTGCACCTGAGGCCTTGGTGCCCTGGTACAGCCTGGGTTAATGACCCTGTTTATCCACTTGAGTCATCCGATAAGGGGCAGAGAGGTCAGCTGGCAGGCAGCCCTCTGCCCTGCACAGCCCTTTCATTGACTGAAGTGATATCGGCGCCACGTGGAGCTCCCACTGCATTCCTCCCCCACCACCTCCCCGCCATTCCTGCCAGGGTCAGTGTGTGTGTGTGTTTTTTTCAATGAACATGACTTCTGGAGTCAAGGTTGTCCGCTGTTCTCCCCTCCCACCCCGGGGATATAAATAGTACCCACAGTGCAGAGCACAGGGCCAGAGAGCTGGGAGGAAGGAAAAGCAGATCCCAACGACTATGAGCTCCAGCCAGCCAGGGGCCTGCCCATGCCAGGGCACTGCAGGTCGCCCAACCATCCTGTACGCACTCCTGAGCCCCAGCCTCAGGTCCAGGCCCTATGTCCCCCCACCTCGTGGCCGCTGCCTATGCAGGCAACACAGACCTGTCCGCCTGAGTACTCCTCATCGTACCTGCCAGAAAGCCTTGGATGTTTTGGCCAAGATGGTGACCTTCCTAAGGAACCTGCCATCCTTCTGCCAGCTGCCCCCCCAAGATCAGCGGTGGCTGCTGCGGGACTGCTGGGGCTCCCTCTTCCTACTTGGGTTGGCCCAAGACACTGTGACCTTCCAGGTGACCGAGGTCCCAGTGCCCAGCATACTCAAGAAAATCCTGCTAGAGGAGCCTGGCAGCAATGGTGGCAGCGGTCAGCTGCCTGACAGGCCCCAGCCCTCGCTGGTTGCAGTGCAGTGGCTTCAATGCTGCCTGGAGTCCTTCTGGAGCCTGGAGCTGGGCCCCAAAGAGTACGCTTACCTGAAAGGGACCATCCTCTTCAATCCTGGTGAGGTCCTAGACACTCCTAGAGGGGGGTCAAGGCTGGGAGGGGGTTGGATAGGCTTATCCAGGGATGGCACCTTCTAAGGGACTGGCATCCTTTCTCTCCTTGGGTCCTCATGATCACTAAATACCATCTCACTGAAAAGACCCAGAGATACCAGGTGACTTGTCAAAAGTCACACAGCCAGGCAGGGACAGGACAGGGCCTGAGAACTCAAGTCTATTCATTCCCCAGAGACTGGCCCTTGTTACTCTGCCCCCCTAAAATTTTCACCAGCCTTAGGGAAATTACCGAAAACAGGCAAAGAGCCCCAACAGTCTCTGGTCCAAGACTACTGTCCCCTACCCTGAGGGAAGTGAGGATGGGCAGATGCAGCTGTGTCAATCACATCTCCAGGGGCAGACGGTGTACCGAAGTTCCAAAAGTAGAACTCCATGGGTTCAGAAAGACAACGTGGAGGGGAAGAAGAAAGGGTGTGTTGCAAAGGAGAGGGAGGAAGTCTGGGAAATTCAGCCAGGAGTGCAGCAGATGGGAACAGTGTTCTCTGTAATCTGGAGAGCATCAGTGATGGGAGTTCCCCACCAAAGGGCTTCATAGAATGGTTAATTAATAATAATAATAACATTAATATTAATGTCGATATTAATTAATAATAATATTATGGTTAATAGTAATTCATTGTAATGATAGTAGTAAATACTCATATTACACTTACTGTATGCTAAGCCCTATTCTAAGGGTTTTATATGTACCAACTCATTTAAACCTCATAGGAAGCCTATGAACTAGGTACTACTACTTCCATTTTCAGATAGGGAAACTGAGACACAGAGATCAGGCATCTTGCCTAAAATCACACAGTGTATAAGTGACAGCACTGGGATTCAAACCCAGGCAGCACTTAACCATTATACTACTCATCCATAAATGGATGGATGAATAAAATGATCAGTGAATAGAAGGAAGAGGTCTAGTGGAGACTCTAAGGCTGAGCAAAGGAGGCAGAGGGGTGTCTGCTAGCAGCTTCACCCTTTGGTGACTGGGAATGGGGTGCTCATCAGCCCTCTTTACTCTCTCTGCCCACAGATGTGCCAGGCCTTCATGCCTCCTTCCACATTGCATACCTACAGCAGGAGGCTCACCAGGCACTGTGTGAGGTCCTGGAGCCCTGGTGGCCAACAGGCCAAGGCCGATTGGCCCACATACTCCTCATGGCCTCTACCCTCAAGTCAATTCCACGCAGCCTGCTTGGGGACCTCTTCTTTCGCCCTATCATTGGAGATGTTGACATTACCAGCCTCCTCGAGGACATGCTTTTGCTGAGGTGACCTGCTTCGGCCTTGGCAGAAATCAGGTATAGGCTGGGCAGAGGTTAGCAGCACTGGCGCAACCTGGCTGTCTCCAGGAGTGACTCACTGCTCCTGGAAGGGGCAAGCCTGCACAGACAGCAAGCTGGGCCTGATCCAGCCAGATGGGTGATGGGCTCTCACTCAGCCTCACCCTGCCTTGGATGTCCTTCCGTTGGACACTGTGTTCTAGCTGTCTGGCTGCCCCTTGATGGTTCCCAGAGTCTCTGGCCCAAGACTACTGTTCCCTCTGGAATGAGGACAGAAGCTTGGGCTGGTCATTGAGCCAAAAGCCTACCACTTTGTACAGAACTCACTTAAGTTATTCATTTTTATAATAAAAGGTGTTGACACTCTTGGAGTCTGACATTGTAGTTTGTGTGTGTGGAAGGGACCATCTTATCTCCAGGACCCATCCTGCCCTGAGCTCAAGGGGAAGGAGCCATAAGGGGTACAAAAGCCAGGTCTTGGAGAATTGGGGTATTAATTTTCAGGATGGGGTGATGATTGCATTTCTGGGAGCGAGACCTCTTTTGCATATGGATCTAAACTCAGAGGACAGTATTAGTTCACAACCTCCTCACTTCCTTGCCTTTATCCTTGGAGGGTGGGGGCTTCTCCCCCACTCCCAAACCCACCACTGACTGCTTCTCTGAACCACAGTCCTGCAGGCTCCCACTCACCTCAGTGAGAATCTGATCGCAGACAATCAGCAAAATGAAGCAGCCCATTACCAAGTTGAAACTGACAAGGTCACTGGAATTTCTATAGTTTGGAATCATTCACTTTCCCCATTTCTGCAGCTAATGAAAAAGGATGGTTCATTGCTCTCCCAATGCGAGAAGGCAAGTGGATCAAGGGATGGCCTGGCAGCTGCTTGGAGGACAAGCCAAGTCAAAGTTCAGCTGGCCCACAGTGATACAGCCATACAGGGTTAAAAACCTGAATCACTTTCCACGATAGTTGGTTAAAAGCCACTGCCCTGAGCCTCCTCCAATTCCCTCCCACTGTCCCTCTGCCCAGCCCCTCTCCTGGGATACTCCTCCCAGATATTCTCATTGTTCAGCAGCACTCAACACAGCCATGGCCTCCAGGGCTGCTCCTCTCAGTGCCAAGGTGTGTGTCTGTTCTGATTGGCCAATGCCTGTGCCTCACTGTTTGTTAAGTGTTTTGAATATTGTCCCTGGGTCAGGGTGACTGACCTGCAGGGTGGACAGGAGGGGCGAAAACACACATGCCTATAGGACCCCTTTTCTGGGCTCCTCCTTTCTCCAGCAAGAGGGCCTGTCCTGACCAGGCCCTACCCCCCTCACCACCACAGTTTGGATACTTCTCACGGGGGCCAAGTTAATTATTGCTCAATGAAAGGTCATTCACTTGGGGACAACAGTCTAGGAGCTGTCACCCAGTCTTCTCCCTAGGGTCCCCAGTATAGAGACCACAACTTAATTGGGCAGGTACCCACTATGGACACCCAGTCCAGTAGCAAGGGAAGCCCTGTTCTTTACACAGACACCCAGAAAGTGACAGAAACACACTACTCAGGCCTCACAACAAAGATACACACAACTCAGACTTCCAGCTCTGACACACACACATATCTACACAGACCTATAAATCAGACCTACCACCCACACACGGCACAGAAATGCATAGCCAGATCCACTCAGTTAGGGACGTGTGGCAGACACATACCCAAGCCACACAGCCACACATACGCCCCTGCTCTGAGGGGGGGTACACAACAGGAGACACCCCCAAACTAAAGTATGTTCGTCCTCATCAGTATATTACAGTAAAAGGGAAGGTGCTCCCCACAGGAAGAAGACCTGTGTCTGCACATTTTCAGGGTCTCTTCAGAGCCAGCAAGTCCAGGCCAAACTTCTCTGCCCATCTGGGGCCTCAACTAGCCACTCAGCCCCTTTCCCCACGGTGACTCCAACAGCCACCCTCCTCTCAATCAGCCCAGGCTCTAGGCCCACTGCCATCAAGTCAATCCCCACTCATAGTGACCCCTGCAGGGTTTCTAAGGCTATAAATCTTTATGGAAGCAGACTGACTCATCTTTCTCCTGCCTCTGCCAGGCCAGGCTCACTTAATAACTTCTTCTAGAAAGTGCCTTCCTCTCATCTAGGATGTAACCAAATCCCCAAAGTGAAGCATCCTTTGGAACCTAGAACAAGTCCTGGGCCAACCGCACCCCCACCGGGTCCCCTAGATCCAGACCTCAGGCCCTCAGCCGCCTCTCCCTGGCCTGTTCTCCACAGTCGTCTGGTTCATACCACCCCATCTAAACTTGAAGACTCCTGAGGCCACTCTCTCAAGAGCATAAGCCTTGTTTCTCAGTCAGCTGTCAGGGCCGAGGTCCGATTGCTTTGTTCTCTTCTAACACAGAGAAGGTACTTGGTTCGAGTTTCTTAAACAGAACGTTAAAGTGTGTGGAATCAAATTGGGGAGATTCAGGGACTTTGGGTCATTCTATCTCCTTTATGCCCCTTCACAGTCTACCCCCCCATCAGCTAGCTGCTGCACCTGTCTGAATCCTCGGGCTGAATCTTCCTGTCCCCCACCCCACCCTCTAACCTTAAACAACCTCTACAAAGCATCTGCTCCACTCCCCACCCCAGGTTCTTTCCATCATCCACAAAGCTTCCTTCATTGGCTCTGCCTTGCCCCTTTCTGATTTTTTTCCTGCTACCTCCACAGCACTGGAGACCTATACGCCTGTTTGTTTCTTGTCTATATCTCTTGTGTCACTCCCTGTGCCCTAACCCCAGGCCTTGTCTAGGAACATAAAGATAAATATAGCAAAACGAAAGAGATAATTATGGTACAATGTAATAAAGGCAATACTGCTTTCTCCATGAGACTGAAGGCTCCCAAAGGTGGTTGACTATGTCTCCATTATCAGTGGCTCATGGGGATGAGATATGTGTTTCAATCTCCCAGGGAGGCTAGAGGGCAACACAGGGTCAGACAGGGTATATAACTTACTCAAGGTTCTGGGCTGATGCTGTCTGCCTTGGGAATTCAAACACAAGCCTATGTGATGCTGCAGGCTGGGCTCTTAGCACCAGCCCAGGCTGGAGTGACTCATGCTCGGGATAAGGCAGTCAGGACCCACTTCAACCACTGTTTACTCACTGTCTACCTCTGGTAGCATAGTGCTTAAGGCACTTGACTGCTAACCAGAAGGCTGCTGGTTCAAACCCACCATCCACTCCTTGAAAGGAAGGTTGGGCGATCTACTTCCATAGTGATATTGCCTCAGAAACCAAGGAGGGGTCGCTATGAGTCAGGTCCGACTCCATGGCACATAACAACAACAACAACAACCTCCCAGCCAGGGATAAGTCACTGGAAAGCAGGAGAGTGGCTATGGCTCTGGGTCACCCTAGGGTACCTTTTATTGCCACTGGTATCTCCACCTTCATTAGTTCAATCACTGACTGCTTATTAAGCAGGCTGTCAGGTAGCTGATTGTGGTGCCCTGTACTGACACATCCTGCCCTTGGTGCATTCACATTCTAGAACCAAAAAACTGACCCCTACTACTCTCCATCCATTCTTTCTATCACTCAACATCTCTTGAAATCCACTTGTACCAGACTCTGTGCTAGATGCTAGGGACACAGAATAATTAAGGCAAATAAATAAGGCACAGCCTCTGTCCTCTTAGAACTCCCTGTCTGTGTCAAAGGAAGACACACCAGTAGTTATAACAGAATGATCTGAACTGTAATGGAGGGACTTACATCGGGCAACAGGAGCACACAAGAGAAAGTGACTAAATCTGCCTGAAGGTTCATCTAAATCACAATACAAAGTTAAATGAGTAAATAAAAATAAACTTAAACAAGTAACCACATTAATTTAAAATGATCTAAAAATCCCAATTAAATACTTGAAGTAAATCTGCTTGAAGGTGAGAAAATTGCTTCAGCAAGTAATGATTGGTTTGAGCTAAAGAGGGGTAATAGGGGTTTGGCAGGTAAATTAAGAATAGGCATTCCAGACAGAGGGAATGATATGGACAAAAGCACAGAAGTGTTAGAGAACAAGGGGTGCTTAGCCAACTGCAAATGGCCTGGGGTAACTCAGGCCCAGGGAAGCAAGCCTACGGAGATGGACAGGGACCAACTTGTGAAACACGGCAGTAGAGAAGGGAAATCCCAACAAAACTGGTGAAGTAACAAGAATGATGTCTCAAAAGAATCAGGGTTAATGAAAGGGACCTCCCATTCCTGGCAAGGCGTGGCCAGAGGAGACCCCAGACTGTCAGATGCTTACTCTGGGTAGCTACAAAATGATAACCAGCTAATATGTATTGAGAGCTAAACAGTTACATGGCTTATGATATTAATTTTCACAACTATGTGCTGTTAACACTATCATCACCTCCATTATATAGGCAAACAAACTGAGGCACAGTTGAGTTACCTGCTCGAGATTACACAGCTACTAACTGGCAGAGCCAGAATTTTAACTAAGGTGGTCCAGCTCCAGGGCCCACACCCTTAAACACTATGCTCTGTTGCATTTTTTAAAGTCAGGGATGGACATCTAGAGAATAAACAACACCTGGACTCCTTCCCTTCTCCATCCCATTATACAGTGGAATGAGAGTGAAAATGAAGGCTTGGTTTCCTCTGGGTTTAGGTTATTGATGAGAAATCTAGCCTGTGTGCTCCCCAAAGGAAACGCCCCACTTTCCCTGAAGAGCCTGGGGAGAATCTCCCGCCATGCCAAGGAGTGCATTACCATGTTAGTGCCAGGGATTTTCATTCTGTCAATAAGGATTCAATGAGAATCTACTATGTAACAAGAATTGTTCTAGGTCCTGAAAATTTAGCCTCACAAGTGAGGAAGGACCAATAAATGAACAACTTCTTGGGTCAACTAACAGTTTACTAGAGAACATCATCTTTATTTGTGGCTATACTGTTTTCTCTATAGCACTTATTTTTCCATTTCCAGATACC